GAAAATGTTTGAGTGATTGAAATCATTTGACTGTCTGGTCCTGGATTGTTTTTGAGTTTGGGTCTGGTGTCAATATCCTGTTACTGTAGTCAGCCTTCCTTCTGCTTTGCTTTAGATTGGTGCTTTCTTAGTGATTCTAGTTAAATATGCTAATTTCTTGTGTTGAGTTATTCTTTGTAACTCTAGTTTAATTATGTTACTTTTTAATGTTTTATTTATTTTCCAGTCCATAGTGTCCTCTCTCTCCCCCCCTGTGTTACTTCCTGCAACCCATTAGCTAATCAGTCCAGGTCTTTTGTTCCAGCATTCACTCTCCCAGTATTTAAACACTTCTTCTTCTCTCACTCCTGGCTGGTTTCTCCTTTTAGATCTCGTTCCCCCCATGCTTCTATTTGTTCCTGATGTTTTTTTGTTCTCCCCTGGCTCCCTGTCAACACCATGTTATTTTTTTGGTGAGATTTTGTTAATATTTTTCATGAAATCTTCAAAATCTACACTTTGTGTCTGCTTTTGGGTCCTCTTCAAACAACACATTTATGGTTAAACCCCTTCAGTGTGAACTTTAGACACTTTGTGCTCGAGCTGTAGTAACTTATCTTCTAATTCGTTTGCACATCTAGAGATTGCTGCGGAGGTCCTGGTGCTTCTGTTTTGTTCTCATCTTCTCCCACATACTTTCTGTGCCCTTGAAATGGTTGTGGCAACCTGTAAACAGCACTGAAAAAAGTTAAGATTTGTGAACTACACTAAAAGTTGCCCTCTCAACAAATTTTCCCATCAGAGCTGTTGATCTCTGCAGGTCCTCCACAATTACCATCTGCTTCTTAGTTGCTTCTCTGATTAATGTCACCTGTCAAGACTTGATATGTTAGCAGTTATGCTGTATGTCTTTTTTAATTTATTTTTGGATGATGGACAGATAAGATGATATCGTCACCAAATAGATATTTCTGTTTGCGGTGTTCTTTGATCTGTTTCTTCACTTCTGTCCTCTTACAAACCTCTGAGGCCTTCACAGGAAGAGTGGTTTGTACTAAATTTAAACTATAATATCACCTCAGATGATTAGCAGAGTGAATGCTGTTGCTTGGACTGGATTTGATTTAGGACTTGAAATTGTAAATAGTTTTGAAGCAGAGGTGAGCGGATCAATCCAAAACATCAAAAATATCGATACCAAGTTGATATCGGTATTGAAAGGACAGCAGTGTGATACAAAAACATGTGGTATTACACATACCACATACAACTTTTAAGAACTTTTAAGATTTGAATTTATACTTTTTCCATATATTCATAAATATATGTGGATTTGTGCTGGACTGTTTTTTTAAACCCTGGTAAAATACTGTGGGAGTATGAATAGTTTTACTAGCCAATGTGAAGTGGTTCACTCATACGTGAGCTGGAACTGCTACTTTTTTTGACGTGACTCATGTGTGTACTTAAAATATTTACTATGTTTGATCTTTAAAGTCACCTGGCGATACACTAAAGCACCTGGACTTCAAACTGAAAGCAACAGCAGTGAAAATGAAACCAGAGCCAACTCTGAGCCATCTGGGTGCTTTTCATCTCAGAAGGAGCTTGCTTAGCATCTGGTGGCTGAGTAAAATCTGAACGGTCACCTCCAGCTGTCTGCACAGCAGAAACTCACGTGCAACTACATTCACACACAGCTGGAGCAGCTGCCAAAACAGCGCAGGGGAGCTAGAATTACTACACTAACAGAAGGAGACAAATTTCTGAAACACGCGTCACTTCTTCTTGTTTTTACATTGTTAGAACTGAGTCAATATAGTAAAGGTGCATAGAGTAGAATTTAGTGGCATAATGAGATGCTTGCAGCCAACTAGATTCCTGCCATGATTTGAATAATTTATCTTACTGACAGTATTGTATTAGGTCAGCTCTCAAGACTTAAAGGGGCAGTATTATGTGTTTTCAAGCCACATAGTGGAATTCTGTAGCGCAATCACGTAACCACGGTTGTAACTTTGGTTATATATCTATATGTGTGGGTGTTTGTGTGAAATTTGACTTCGTAATTCAACGACTTGAAATGAAGACAATCATGTTCTTTCTGAAGAATAAGATTTTCCTGATTTGTTCCTTCAGGAAGTCAACCCAACATGGCTTCTCTATTTACCTTTAACCATGTTTCTACCTGAAGAAGTAGCTCTTATAATAAGTTCTGCTGATGTACAGCTCCACCAGGTGTTTGCTAATTGCTGCTGGCTAGTCTGAAGGAGTTGAATGGGGGATTCATGAGGAGGAAGCTTGGAAATTGCAACTTCGAGGAGGAGCATCGTCCTCGAAGGCGGGGCAAGGTTCACCTAGGTGTTTTCTACCATGGGAGATTAAAATATTTTTCAAACAAGCATGAAAGAATCAAGGCAGCACTTCAGGTATGTTATGTTTTTAATGAGAGAATATTATAACATGAGATAAAGTTCAAAAATGTCAATTTTACAACACAGTCAGGAAGTCCAGTGGATGTCCTGTTGACTGTTTACATCCACAATTTGTTAATGAATAATTCCCCTTGGGATGTTTGTTGCATTTAAGACAAAAGAAAATGTGGAAAATGAGCTAAAATGTTGAAGCTCATCAAGAGCTACATGTCCAGGGTCGTCCAAATGGAAGATGACTTTCTTCCCCAGTCTCGGTGTTTTTGAAGCCTCTGATAGGTTTTCCTGTAGGACTTTCCTGAATTTGGCTCCATCCATTCCCTGGTCATCTCTGAGCAGCTTACATTTCCCCGGCTTATAAAAATATCTCCAGATTTCGCCATTAGTCTGAAGACCAATATGTCTGGGTTTTATATTTAATTTTAGTCTTATTTAATCTAACTTTTTTTTTTTTTCACGCTTTTGCTGTGTTCCTTGCACAGTTTTGGAGGCAAAAGTCTTGCCACTTTCTTCTCGTCACTGTCTCAAAAAGGCCAGATTGTAAAGTACACTAATAATACTTATCCTTAAAACAGATTCTCCCATCTGAGTTGAGAATCTCAGCTCCTCCAGCGTTACAAAGACCCTCTTGGGTGATTCTAAAAAAATAACGCTCCCCTTGTTCATCCACATCTTGGTATGCTGTGTTTTACTGTTTCCCTCTTCAGATTTCAGAAAACTTTCTCCCTGACCCGTCTGTTGTGTTTCTTCGTCTTCACTATGCCATTTGGTGACTGATGTTCTCTAGCAAACTTCCAGTTCCGTCCCAGGACAGCTGTATTTATACCGAGATGAAATCCATTCTATTTGCTATTGTAGTTAATATTGTGGCATGTTGTTGATTCCTTCTAACTGAATCAGTGAAGTTCAATCAGTGAGGATGTTTGTTATGTGGAAAACAGGTGGCACATACGTGGTCCGTCCTCAGGGATTTGTCTCTGGAAAACTGAGTGAAATGTTTTCTTTTCTCCCCCATCTCCCGAGAAGAACAGATTGCACTGAATAAAATTTTTATTAGCTAGGGGAAAACGTAAGTGCAGGAAGTGGCCGGTCAAGTGAAATGATCTGAAAGGCTTAACATGGAAATCAAAACCAGAAAGATAGGGAGAAAAAATGGGCCAAAACGAATCTAATAATAATAATCTCCAGGGTGCTAAAAGATAACAATAGCTACATTTGGCTGCTGTAGCCATTCGAAGCGAAGCTGTTGGCAAAAAAAGAAAAAAGGCCTTCAAAGTCTCATTATTAAATAAAAAGGAGATAAGAACTGGTCAAAGAACTGAACTGTCGGGGAGCTGTAGTAGCGCAGGGGCAAAGCACAATCCATGTATTGAGACCCTTAGTACTCATGCTGGTAGTCGCAGGTTCGATTCCTGGGCTGGTGACTGGTGATCCAGACAGATTTGCCAATACCGTAATTCCGCCACATTTTGCGCTATGTGAAAAAAGCCAACAGTTTTTGAAAGGGGAGACATTTCCCTTTCCTGTCAATATCGAGTTACTACGGTCATTTCATTTCCGCCGTGGTTTGGAGTGAAATTAATCGGAGGGACATCAATATACAGTAATTTGCGAAAATAACCTGTTATCAAAAGTTCTAGTTTCTATGGATAAATGGGCAAATATATTTTCTTACATTTAAAGAACTGCGTAAGGCGGAGATTTTGAATTCAGGACATCCAGGGTGTAGGCTAATGGAAAACTCCCATGTCAACATCATAAATTTTGTTTAAGGCGAAATCAGCATATGCAGAGGACCTGATGAACGTAGTCCAAATACCCTGAAATGCAATGTCAGTTCCAGTTTGATGGATGTGGAGCGGTTCTCAGAAATAATGCTTATATAACTAAATATTAGCTCACTTATTTACAGGACAGACCATTCTTCAAAAAATTTTCAGTTTAAACAGTACTTTTTTTCCCCAACTTTTTAAACAGCCTAATATTTATTTTCATTACTTTCTTCAGACTGAGAACAAATGAGTTCAGTTGTTTGTCCTCGGGTTGATTTGTAGCAGAATGTGCTGCGTTTCCCAACAGTCTGGCGTGTATGGAAATTTGAGTTTTTCTCACTTTTTAAACATTAATGTACAAGTTATCTCTATTCAAAGTTACTGTATGTGTGTGTGTGTGTGTGTGTGTGTGTGTGTGTGTGTGTGTGTGTGTGTGTGTGTGTGTGTGTGTGTGTGTGTGTGTGTATAACCCTCCACATGGGGGTTACCAGGCTTAACACAATGGAGCCTATTCTCATTTCAGCTCGTTGCATCTGAATAGCAGAGGCTGCTGGGTGGAGGTGAATGACAACACACACAGTGGTACAGTATCTGTCTGTGGGAGGAGGGCATCCACCATCCACACACACACACACACACACACACACACACACACACACACACACACACACACACACACACACACACACACACACACACACACACACACGCACACACGCAGTCATTGTTTGGCCCTGATTTTCTGTGTGTAATGTTTTCTTGTTTTGAATAATTTCAGCCATGGCCTTATTTTTATTCTAATCCTCTTAAGTTTCTAGATTCCTGAAAAAGGCTTAAGATGAGATCTTATTATCCCCCACCCCATTCCTCTGTTCCTTCAGACTCCTCAACTGCAATCAGGAAAATTATCACAGACACAATCTCCCAAAGATTAGAGGCTCCTTGGTCATTTCCTGTTTCTGTGACAGTTTGGAGGATGCCGTCACTCTCTTCATGAACTCCCTCCTTCACCTCGTTCCTCAGTCCCTCCCTCTGACTAGCCAATCAGACCAGACAGGCTTGTCTGGATACGAAATAAGCGGGCAGTGGGAGGGGTGTGGATGACCAACTGGACAGGACCAAAACCCCTGCCAGCCAGACCGGAGCTGAGAGGCTGAGAGAATCTCAACCAAGATTTGGCTGAAGAAAACACGGTGTCCTCGTTTGTCAGTGAATAATGTCTGAATGAATCGAATTTGTTAGTGATTCCTCAAGGACCTACATCCCTGCAGGTGTAGCGGTGGGAAGTTGAGACACAAGAGGAGGAGATAAACAGGAGTAGGAAGTGGGGGGTGAAGCTATCAGACTGAGCACATGTCAGCTTGGTTGGTTCAGACTGGCAGCTCAAACCCGCTATGCTAGCAGGGGGACGGAAGTTTTCTGACCTGGAGATGTTAGTGGGCATGGAGGACGAGTGTGTGGACAGCGCCAGGAGCCGAGCTGGGAGCTGCGTGGAGTTCCACAGCCTTAAAGTAAGTCGGCTTTTCCTCTTTTACATTGGATGAACTTCAGAATGTAGACCAACAAGTGGTTTGGGAAACATGTTCATATTTCTCATCTTTAACGAGACAAAATCTTTGGCTAACGGTGTGTTGACTCTGTTTTTTTGTTTTTTTTAAAAATTGAAATCCATACTTCTATAAAAGACAAAGTAAATGTGTTCTTTGGATAACTTATTAGCAGTATCTCAAAGTGTAATTTCTTAGTCAGTAAGACAGAATACATACGGTTTTCAGATATTTAAAAAAAATGTTGTTTTGCTTTTTTTTTTTTTTGACCAGGTAAGTTGGTTGAGAACAACTCAAACACCTGAAGACAGGGATGAGGGCCGAACTGGCAACCTTCAGCTCACGCCAACCGAAAATGGTCCAAGATGCAGCTTTTAATCCAAGCCAGAGATTTTTCTGAGAGATCTATCTCCTGGAGTCTGCTAAACAGAATGTTGTGGTTGAAAGAATCAAATACCTTAGCCAGGACAACATACACAGCCACACAGTATTCTTTTTTTTTTTTGTATCAATGGTATTCATGTTAAGTGTCACAGAGATAGACCCAAAACCCGAATGCATGGCTAGTAAGAATTTTGTTGGCTTTCAAAATGGTGGGTAATCAGTTTGTTGATTAATAATTCAATCACTTTGGAGAGACAAGGTAAAATGGAAAGAGGGCAATAGGAGTTTTGGTGTAAAGTATCATCCTCTGCATAGAACATAACTGTCAAGTCTCTTGTTTAGGCCTGGAAACTAATGTATTTTACTTCTTTTCCCCACCGTGCTCCTGTATTAGTATTTTCCCGTAAATTCAGCAATTACGATAGCAGCTAAAACTTTCCCGTAGTGTCAAATCCAAAACTTGACAAGTATGTTAAAGAGTGGGCTGACCACTGCTGATTTCAAGTCTTGGGGAAATTTACTGACTTAAAAGGAGATGTTAAACAAATGAGTAACGGGTATCGCAATAGTGTGTGCTGTTAACTTCAGAAGGAAAGGATAGAGAGGATCTAACCCAGCAGATTTGTGAGGCGTCAGCTGTAGAAGTTTGCCTTGTTCCTGTAAGAGTTGATGAGAGATGGGAGGGTTGTTTCAAGGAAGTAAATTTACTGTTGAATAACAGTGGTTGAAAGCAATGGTGGAAGTGGCAATAAAGAAGGGTTGACCAGACGCAATGAAATATTGCTTATGAATATCAATCATTGTGGTTTTGTCTGACATCAAAATTTCTTCAGGCTGTCTTGTGTTGCGAAGATTTGTGTCTATTTTCCGTATTTTTAATGGGCTCTTTGCACCTGCAGCGCTGGCGTCACAACCTCATGCGCAAACGCGGCTCTCTTTTTTTCCGCTTTCAGTTACTTTGACAATTGAAAAGACAAAGTCGTATTTCAGACACAAATAAAACTATACTATGCACCTTGTTGTCTTCCTAATATAATGGGCTTTTAAGTTTTCATGGATTTCCAAGCGGTCCTGAATTAAGAAGACGGTGGCTTGTAAATATGCGTCCCTCCCAGTTAAAGCTACCAGTTGAAGCTAACGGGCCACAGCAAAGTTTGCAGCCTTCGCTTCACTCCGGATCCGTTTCTTCAGCCTAAAGACGAAGGTAAAGGAGCCATCCTGCATTATTTCCATCGAATCGCTTCTGTATTCGGTCTGAAAGAGCGAGTGTATGGGAATGAGAGAGCAGAGCCAGACAGCCGAGCAGCTGATCTGCCTGTACACACTGCTGTAAACACCGTCCTATTGAGCACTTCACAAGAAGCATGCAAAAGTAATAAAACGAAATAACACAGAGACCTTCAGAAACACGGCCATATTTTTCTAAAAGTGACTTCTCTGAACCTGAACAGTCAGCTGAACTAGAACTCCGACACCAGAGCTGCTCTACTGTTACGCTCTGGGCTCGTTGTGCTTCGTCAGGCTTTAGAAGCAAAAAGCCTGAACGGTAATCTGCCCCCCGCCCCGCGTTTATTGTTGTTAACAATAAACACGTAATATACTTGAAAATAAGGTACAAACATTGTTTGTTAGAATGGATGAGAAATATCTAGATACTTAAATAGCAGATTTTTACAAGAAAAATGTCCGAGAATGTTGCCTACTAACATAAGCTAAAGCTAATGTTAGCCACAAAGTTTAACAAAAGTAAAACTCACCTTCGTATCTGATAATGCATAACGAGGCCAACATCTTAAAACCTTTCTCCAGCTTACTTGTTGGGGCTTCGGATTGATGTACATTATTGTTATCTTGGAAAAGCCCTGCAAATACCCAGTGCAAAGTACCATTTTCAATAGATCGGAAACGATCGAGCCGCTTTTTCCCGAATGCGGAAGCTGAGGTGCAAAGAGCCATAACTTTTGGGGGATTTTTTTTTTTTTCTTTTTTACAATATTCAGGTTCTCATTTTCTAACTACTTCTGAGTCGTCTAAAAGATTGCCGATCATATTTGATCTGATCCAGGGACTGAAGAACTTTGTTTTTTTTTAAGGAAGCTGTTTGTCCAAGATGAAAACAAACATATTTTTGAAATAACACAAAGCACTCTTGACTGAACGAGGTTAGTTTTCATCAAGATAGAGAAACGACATTGTGCTCAAACATTTACGCTGAACAGAAAATTGATAATCCAATCTGTAATGTCCCACAACAGATTGGCTTTTTGGAGTGTTACTTTACAAAATAAAAAAAATATACATATATATTATTAGTTATTAAAAATGTTTTTTAATGATCATGAGTGTTCATGAATATTTTTACTAAAAACAAAGGTGACGTGAACACTGTGTGCAAGAGAGCAATCATTGCAAAACAAGGCTGTACCATTTAAAAACAAAGACAAAAATGATTGATGGTGAGTTAACATTTTGAAACTTCCTGCAGCGTCTTAAATGAGCAAATGATGGCGGTTACGTCGCTGACTGTAAACAGCAATTTGTGTGTTCTCTAAATAATGTAGGACCATTAAGAGTCACACTGCATAAAACAGAGCTGAGCTTAAAATCTCAACTCTACAGGATAAAACAATGATTGGCTACCGACACTACTCAGTAAGAGGTGAACAATTAGACAGAGAATACACAACAGTCCTAGGGAAACTTCAAGGAAACCTTGTTTAACTAAAAAAAGAAAAGCATATGCTCGATATAACGTCATAAATAAATGATAAATGAAACATGAAGAGATAGTAAAACAAATTTTACAACAGTTTCAACTCTTGATGCTTTCTCTAACCGTTCCACTTTTGTTTCTTAGCTTTGGTAGCCAAACTACGAAAACAGATTTTTGTTAAGATTGCACATTCCTTTCCCAACAGAAGTTACATCACGCATGATTAAGCGAGAAAAATGAATGTGCCGTACCATTACGGACACATGTTGGAAAATCTCACTGAAAAGCACTTTTGTCTCATAATGTTGGACTCAAGGTGTGTTTTTTTTTAAGCTGATACGAATCTCCCCAATTCAATAAAGTGCACCTAATCTCGGCGGCATTTAGGCGAATAAGTCCTGTTGTTATTACTACCACTTCTCTGCGCTTCACTTAAATCTAGCAGACCAAGAAAGATCTACAGGTGATTGCAAAGAGTGGAGCTCGGCCATGTTGCCAGATGTTTGAGCTGTTGGTAAGGGATTGGTCTGAACTGCGCACGTTTCCCTCTTGTTCTCCCAGGAGTGATATGTTTTAATGATCTCATACCTCTAACACGGGGATCTGCTGCTGGCTGGGATGAGATAATCACACCGTTTAAGAATACGTGACGTAAAATTTGGAGAGAACATCTGTTTCTTTGTGATTTGGTTGGCATTTCAAAGATTTTCTCTCTTTCCTAACCTCTGGTTTTCACTCAATTTCTCGTGACTTTTCAATTCACTGATGATATCAAGTCATTAAAACTGAATTTGCTTAACTTTCTGTTGAGCATACCAAACAAGGGAGCTTCATAGTGAGAAATTACATCCTACTTGTCATTTTATCATCAGTAGTACAGTATGTAGCATAAATACCAAACAGTAGCTATACTACCCTACAAATGCAGTTACTGTCGTTACTGAACTACGTTCATATTAAGAAAGAATGACTTTCTATGATTTCTAAATATAGGTGGACAACTTGTGTCTGAGGGACATTTAGGGATATTTAGTTCCCTCCTAGATATTTAGTTGATATCTAAAAACACATGTCAGCTGCTGCTGATGTCAGTTTTTACAACCACTTAACTCTCTATAACAAGGGAGTTATGTGAGTTTAGAGATGTCCAATTCCAGCTAAAAGTAACATTATTCATCTTCTTGACAGATTTAGAAGTAGTACCAGTGAAACACTGCTGATCAACGTTTTGCATGTTTCCACTACCACAATTTTTAAATCATTAATAAGCTCCAAGTGTTAGAGGTTGAATGTCCTCCTTGGCATCATCCTAATGTTTTGGTTTATCCACGGATTCTCTAACGGATTCAAGTGAGGAGCAATCTTGAATCCAGAATAATTTTGAACCTATCTTTATTGTTGTGACAACACTTTGTTTGAAACAGAATGATTTTGCTTTTTACGATTTATCATTTATTCACCAGACACGTTGATGCTGGTGCACCAGAATCTCCCCAATGAGAGACAATAAAGAATATTTCTATTCTATTCTGTTATATTAATCTTTACAAAGATGCTACGCTAGCATTAGCATGATTTTTCTCCGTTTTGATATGACTTGTTGATGATTTGACTCTGAATTGCAGTTGTAGTTGACTGTAAGGACAAACGTGTAAATTTTTCTCTTTTATCGGCTGATAAGAGTTAGGAATGATGTAAATGTTTATAATTTGTGTCAAAGTAGTGTGCAGTCTTCCAAAGTTGATTGAACTTTGGAAGACTGTGCCCTTAAAATAACGTGTAAACTAGGTTTGGACCTCTGAGAATTGCTGGTTTCCGTGTGTTGTAGTTAAATACCATTTTGGATTTAAAGACCTGAAACTCACAA